ATTATTTTATATTTTCTTACCTTAGACTGATAACTTATGTGATGGCCATTCTAAATTTATGTTATTTTTATCGTTTTACATCTATTAAATTTTTCAATTTTATAAGTCGCTAAGAACATGTTTATTACAGTAGTTTAAATGGGTTGTTTAGAGTATTTTATAATTAAAAAAATAAAAAATGAAAAAAGAGAAGATATGTTGCTTGCTTACGTTGCTTTTCATCTTTTCATGCTGTCTCTCTCTTTTTATCTTTCTTTTTTTTTTGATTCATTTAATTTTCTTTTCATTAGCCCATTTAAGCAACTTTTAAAAGATTTTAGCAATAAACATGCTCTAAGTTATGAAAATGAGAATAAGAGAAAGAGAAAACATTGAGTGCTTTACCTGTTTGAGATATTGTTGCTATCAATTCAAACACAATATTTTGGCATTTAAATGTGAAGATATGTTTCAGCCCATAGTTTTTGAAAAACGTACCCAAAAAATAAGAATGCTTTAACTGTTTGAATTCTTTAACTGTTTGAGATATTGATGTGGTGGATTCAAATCAGTTTATTATAGTATTCAATCTGTTGGCATTCAAATGTTAAGATACGTTTCAGCCATATCTTTGAGAAATTCACCTGTAAATAATGAGAATTTACTATACAATGAATACTAAATCATCAATTGTCTCTTCTCTTTTTTGTTTTTTTGTTTTCTTATGGATTTTGGTTCATTCTAACTGCATAGATTGTATTTATTCGGTTGCTTTCTTGTATCAACCTCCTGTTTGTTCCTCGAACCAAAGAACAGTGCACATAAAACAATGAAAAAGACTGCCTGAGAATGGTCCAGAGAATTTGAATATAGTGTTTACATCCATGTATGTCTTTGTGCATCTGATTGTCATGTTCTCCTTTCGCTCTTCTGATTTGATTTTGAAAATGGTATAACAGAACCGAACCAGAGCGTTGGTGATTTGGCCGGTAACTAATTAGTCATAAATCCAAATAAAAAAAATTACCACGTGGATATTTTGATAGTCGAGATTGATATGGTTCCTTTTACAAGTGTTCCTCTAAATGCATTATCTTTTCACATATCTTTATCTAACTAATCTAATAATTTAATATTAATCAAAACTTAATTATTTAATTTAAATGCTACTATTTTGTTTTTAAGAACTTCTATTTTACACACTGACTAATAAGGTTGCTCTAACTATCTTCAGTGAGGAGAGGTACAACCAATAACTATCTTAAAGAAAAGAACGATAATTAAAAAAAAACAATCCGAGTTTCTTTCATCAACCATTTTGTTTTGATTAACAGATATGTTTTTCATATGCGCCTAATGAAAATAAACATGGACACCTAATGGTCTGTAACTTCTTCTTGTCGACTCATATTTGTTTTCATTTTACTATTTAATTCTCCTTTTCTGAGAAATATTTAGATTTGTTTTTTTTAAGGAATATATAAGAACCCTTTTTTTTACTACAGTAAAAAAGTTAAGGTATTGGAAACCATAATATATACTCCCTCTGTTTTATTATAAGTGTCACTCTACAGCTGTCCACACAAATTAAGGAAACAATTAATTTTACATATTTCCTATATAAAAACACAATTACCCATACACCTAACCATATTTTAACCAATAGGAAAATAAATTACATAATAAAATTAATAAATTTTGCATTGAAAACCGAAAACGACACTTATTTTGTAACGTAAAAAATTCTCTACAACGACACTTAATATGAAACGGAGGGAGTAGTAGTAAACAAGACCATCTTTACAATGCATGTACATATGGAATTAGTTAGGTACGTATTGCTGAATCAAAATAATCAAGGCGTGCCATTATGACACTGTAATAAATTTCTAACGACAACTAATCGAGTATATGTGTTCATCATATAATAGTAATTTATTATGGGATCAACCACCAAACATGAAATCCACTATTCATCTATACATCTACGTAGGTTCACAATCATACGTACAAATCATAAGCGCTCAAAAATGAACAACACAAATAAGTGTCAACAACATTATATACCTTTTATTTATGTTATATATATATATGTACTGTGTACACACAACATAACAAGAGTTAATTGTATAAATAATCTTTTTTTGTCAAAGTTCTATTTAACTAAAGAACTATATATATTGCTTTTCTAAAATGGAATTTTACAAACACTACATTTTTGATGAAGTTTGTAACAAAACTAGTTCTCGTTGTTGTTGTTTATTTTACTTTGCCTACCACTGAGATATTAGTTAGTACCCTTTTTAAAAAATAAGTGAAATATTATTTATACGGGGACTAAATACCACTTCCAATTGCTATAGATACAACATCTGTTCCGATATGAACATGCAGAACAACTGTTTGTATCCTTAAAAACCTATTTTGATAGACGTTCATCATTCCCTGAAGCAGAATTGGGGCTAGCGGTCAGTAAAAATTAAATTGTGGAAAAGAAGTTGTAGTCGATGAAAAGTTACCATCGGCTCACCAACCTAATAATAAATACTATTATTTGTGTGACCTTCACTATGCGAGTATGCGTCATCATTATACGGAATTTATTTTCCTCATAATCATAAACAGTCACAAAGTGTTGAGAATATCTTCTATTTTTCTTTTTGTTGTCATGCATGCACGCCCTTTTACTTTTGTTTATACGAAAAACACGCCTTGTGTTATATGCATCAATTATTATTGTCACAAAAATTCCAATATTAGTATGTAGTATCCTTAATTAATCTTGTATGCATGCAAGATATATAAGTGTTGCCATTTAAATAGGGAACTACATTGTTTCGATTAGCATTTTTCAAATGCTAATATGTATTAACTTGCCTTACAAGTTATCGCTATACAAATGTATAGCCATCGATCATTTATAATTAGTTGTGATAAAACATATAATAACACTTTTAGTGCAGCTACTAAAAGATGGTAGGTAAAAGAGAAGTTAAGTGGATGAAACAACAATATAAAGAAAAGGAAAACACTAAAGGACATGTGTGAGAGCAAATTATAATCGAATAGTAAAGGACATGTGTGAGAGCAAAAATATTTTGATAAGATTTTTACCGTTTGAAATGATATTAGACATCTATGGAAAGATAAGCACATGCTGAATTAATTAGTTTCCCAGGGTTTTAAGAAAAAAATGTCTCTAACAGAAAAAGAACCATGGACATTTTTGGGAAAGGGGTTCTTCACTACGTACCACAAAAAAAAAGAACCATAAACATAATTATTCTCTATTGTAAGACCATCCATTTACAATACAATTCATTCAGAATCAAATAATTGTGCGTTATGTAATATGTAATACATTGAAATACTATATATAAATACTATATATAATACATTGAAATACTATATATAAAATACATTGAAATATCATACACTTGTATCAGCTGTTTAACTATACTTTCAATTTCAAACAGAAGAGAGGATAATGCTTTTTTCACCCATTAAGCACTACTAAATTCAATGTACCGTAACTGCGTAAAGTGATCCCTTTATAAACTAGTAATCAGTCCTGTACTGAAAACCACTTTTGGCTATCTCTCTCTCTCTCTCTCTCTCTCTCGATCTCCATCTTGTCGAAAATGCAATCACCGTCCCAATGTCCATCTCTCCCTTCAGGTCACGTGAAGGTCATACCAAACCCAAAACAACATCGTCTTATTTAAAAAATAAATTCATTTCAATATTGTTTAGAGTATTCGAACATGGGTTTTCCGGTTAACTCAGCCCTTACTCGACCATTTTGCCATATATGCATAATTGGTTAATGCATCATATATACATATTTACCATTCATCAGTTCTGAATTCCCCACAAAAATTCGTTGCCATTTGGTGTAGAAGAGGAATTGAACCCGGGTTATCCATAATACCCTATCCCCCACTCGACCACTTTACTATGATTAATTATTGATCTAATACATCATATATACATATATTGAGTTTGGTAAAAATTGCTAAAATGTTTTGTAAAAAACAAAAGAATTGCTCAAATGTTAAATTTTAGGAAATTAGAAGTTTCAATTTGTTTATATATTTTAATCCAAATAATTTATATTTGAATTTATAACCCGGGTTCGAATCCTCCTCTAAACCAAACGGAAACGATTTTTTTGGGAACCCAGAACCGATGAAATCAATTTTTTTGGGGAATTCGGAACCGATAGAATTTAAATATGTATAGATGTCATTCGTTTTCATTTGGTTTAGAGAAGGATTCGAACCCAGGTTATAAACTTAAATATAAAATATTGTGATTAAAATATATAAATAAAATAAAACTTCCAATTTCCTATAATTTAACATTTGAGCAATTCTTTTATTTTTTAGATAAAACATTTGAGCAATTCTTAGTAAACCTATATATGTATATATGATGCAATAAACCAATAAATAATCATGGCAGAGTGGTCGACTGGGGGATTGGGTATTGTGGATAAACCCGGGGTTCAATATCCCTTCTACACCAAATGGCAACATATTTTTGTGGGGAACTCATAACTAATGAATGCTAAATATGTATATATGATGCTTTAAACCATTGATGCATATATGGCCATAGTGGTTGAGTTAACTTGGGAACCCAGGTTTGAATCCCCCATCTAAACCAAATTAAAATTATTTTTTAGTTAAAATTTTTATTATGAGGCTATTTAGAAAGGGGTAAATCACTATGTAGTTAATAAAATGATTTTGAGTACAAATTAAAACAAAACGTGTTCAAGAGGACAACAAAATATATAATGGAGGTACTGAGTGTACACAAAACAACTTTTTTGCTGCCAATGACCAAGGCCCTAGGCCCAAAGTCCATCAAATAGTTGTTTTAGGCTCTAAATATTTTAGCGGCATCGATTTGATTAACAACAAGATAATGTTGTACTACATAGTGATTTACCCCTTTCTAAATATCAAAATAATTTATACTATATATTTCAGTATTTAAGTTTGTGTTTATTTTTTCACCACAAAGAAAGAAAAATCCTTGTAATTAATGTAATTTTTTTAAAATGTAATGGCAGGAACTCTAAATAAAAATAAATACAAAAGAAAGTAGTTAATTTATTGTAAATATAATGGTTAAATGTGTAAATAAAAAGAAATACTCAATCTACTATCCATGTTTCCAAACAATTCTCATTTATCCTATTTTCATTATTTTCAAACAGTATCAAAAGGTACTTCACTTTTAATAATATAGATTTCAATTTACTATACAATGAATTGTGAGTCTCATTCCAAATTTGTGTTATTTCATACCTTTTATATCAAGGAAGTAAGAAAAAATTTAGAAGTTATCCAAACTTTAAAAAGAGAAAAATAAATATATTGAATGCATTAATCTTTTGAGATTTTGCAAATACCAAATCAAATTGTTTTATGATATGATAGCATTTACGGCTAAAGAAAAAAAAATAAACAAAATATATTCACATTTAAATGTGAAAATATATTTCAGCCTATATAAGTTTAACATAACTGTCCAAGCACTTTAAACAAGATGGTTGCATACTTGAAAAAAAACTTTTTCTTGGTTCTTACAATTGTTCTACTTCCTTTTGTTGTGTCATCATCATATGGAGACTTTAGTATGATGGTTGCAAAAAATGAGATCGACTTCATATGCACAAGAAAAGACGTCAATTCTTCACTTTGTTATGAGCTTCTAAACTCAATCCCTAAAATTTCAGCTTTAGATTTTACTGGCCTCACTGAATTTCTTATCAAATATCAGTCTCGAAACGTTTCAGATGGGTTGAACCAAATAAAGTCGTCTGCAGGCAACGCAACAGATTTGCAGACAATTGATTTATGTGTAAGATTATATGAAAACACTCTTTATTACACTGATCATATTCTCAAAGCTTTGGCAGCGAAGAAATACTTCAATGTAAACATTTACATCACAGGCGTAGATGCCAATATGGATGTTTGTAGAGATGAATTAGTAATAATGAAGCCAAGACTCGAAGTCTTGATCGCGAGAAATATAGTCATTAAAAAACTATCTACCATTATTTTGTGTATTCTGGAATGTTACCTAGCAAAAGAAAAGCAACATTGTTAATTTACTATAATAATATTATTTGTTCTGATATTTTCATTGCCTTTTTCATAAACTAATAAAAGTTGTTGGGATTGTTAAAGTCATGTCCAACTCATTATTATCCGATTACAAACGGTTGTATGTGCGCATATCATCAAATGCATTATCATCACGAGGTGGCTGTATACACATTTTACTGGTACACTATATATCACAGCTTCAGAAACAAACATGAAAGTTTCTTTCTCACATGATTCTGTGTCAATTTAATTAATCACGATATCAGTGTCTTTGGATATGAAGGGGCAGAGCTTGGTTTCGGTTTATGTGTGACTCTGTTGTGTGTTGTTCAGATGACATTGTTGATGCAATGACTGGAGGCGAATGCAGCTCAAGAAAGGCTTTTCCATCGGATAGCCGCCTATGCATAGTGTGTCTCATCGACCAAGCCAAATACCGTCATGAACATTGTTCACATCCAGTGTTTTCAACTCATGCAACATATCGCAAGCAAGTTGAAACCAAAAGGGCACAACGGATACACCTTCATCAAACATCAAAGAAAGTACCAGCAACCTGTTAGAGAATCGAAAAGGTCAGGATGCAGGACAAATAAAGACAAATAATATTTGGACACATNTCGACCAAGCCAAATACCGTCATGAACATTGTTCACATCCAGTGTTTTCAACTCATGCAACATATCGCAAGCAAGTTGAAACCAAAAGGGCACAACGGATACACCTTCATCAAACATCAAAGAAAGTACCAGCAACCTGTTAGAGAATCGAAAAGGTCAGGATGCAGGACAAATAAAGACAAATAATATTTGGACACATTCACAGAGAAGACCACAAAAGAATTAACACATGAAAAGGTCTCTTGCTTCATAAATCAAACTATAGATGATGGATATAAACGGACCAGAATTCAAGGGGACAAGAATACTAGTTCAAAAGTCTGCTTCATAATCAGGCAAAGCAGGTCGAAATCTAACACATATATCCCTTCCAATTCATCCACCATCTGCTCTCTTCCACCGCTTCGCTGCCGCCATCCCCGGCGGTTCCTCCGATCTCTAGTGTATCGGAATCTGCCACTGATAAATGACAACTTAGTAGGGTTTTTATTTCTGTTCTTCTTTGTAATAGGATCGTTTTCTTTTTGGTGAAGCGCGTTTTGATATTTTAAATTTAAATTTTATTGTTTTTAAGCATTTGTTTGTGGTATACGACTCCTTAAATTTGGATTTTATAGTTCTCAAAAAGGCAACAGAAACTTAAAAAATGTAACGCTGAGATTTGCTAACCAAATAGTATACCCAATTAGCGTTGACAAAAAAACACCGAGTTAGTAATGATTTAATGTAATAAGACTTTGGCTAATTTTTGTTATGCCTATACTTATACAATAAATTATATAGTTTTTTTTAACGACTGCATTGATAGAAAAATCAACCAACAGATTGTGGGTCGAATACACTATGAAAACTAAAGAAAGACACTTATAAGCTCAATCTACATAAAGATCTATGAGCAAATAACAACTGCCTCTTCAAAAACCAGTTGATATATACTATAAATAGTTATATATTTGTTTTTCGAGAAAATCATGTAAAAAAATTCAAATAACTTAACACTTTAAACTTTAAAATTATTTAACTACCATATTAAACCATCACATTTTTTTTTGAACGCCATCAAATTTCATATGTTTTTTTTAACACCATCAAATTACAAAGATATCAAATTTCATATCTTTTATAAATTATATGTAGTTTTTTCCAGAAAAATATGGTATCCCATATTAAACAAGCTATCCAAGAGGCTCAATGATAAACAGTTTTTTGTAAAGTAATATATAAAGAATTAATTGAAATTCCTTTAAAACTCTTTTTCCATAATATATTATGATTTTTTAGAATATATATTGGAAGACAAAAGAAGAAGTATAACTCGAAATAACATTTTAGCTATCTCTCTATCTACCTCACCCTCCACAATGCCACACTGAATGTTTTTTGCCTTTTTAGCTATCTTTTCAGTGAAAAGATAAGAAAAAAATAAGTAAAAAATAATAAATATAAATGAAATATAATGGAAATAATAGTACAAATATAGAGTTATTTTTAGGTTCATCCCCTATGGTGAACCTCTAGGTTCACCAACCAATAGGGTGGTGTTATTTAATATTTGATATATTTTTTAAAAGTAAATAAAATCTTGTTAAGTTATATTATATTTTTAAAATAAAAATACAAAATAAATAAAAATTAATAATATTTAAAAAATGAAAAAAACTTTTTAAAAAAATATTTAACACTAAACCCTAAACTCTAATCCTAAACCCTAAACCCTAATACTAAACCCTAAACCCTAAACCCTTGGATAAATCATAAACCCTTTGAGAAAATCTTAACCCTTGGGTAAATTAATACTAACCAATTATACTATTTTTTTATTTAGTTTTATCCTTTTATTTTAAACACATGTTTTTATTTTAAAGATACATTAAATATTTTTTTTTAATTATTTTTACAATTATTACTATTTTTATTTTATTATTATCTTTTATTTTAAAACATAATATAATGTTAAAATATTTTTTTAAAGATTTTTCTTTCGTTTTTGTATATATTAATATTTTATTTTTTTCTATTTTTATTTTAAAAACATAATATAATTTGAAAATATTTTATTTTTTTTAAAAGATATCAAATATTAAATAACACCACTCTATTGGTTGGTGAACTTAGAGGTTCACTTTAGGGGGTGAACCCAAGAATAAGTCTTGTTTTTATCTAACGTATTGAGCGATCTTTTCGTTGGTCATCGTAATACTTGTATTATAATAAAACATCATATTCAGAATTCTATCAGAAAGTAAAAAAACAGATTAATTAGTTAGGATAACATCAAGATAGTGATTACATATGCGAAACCAACAAATTATTATTTATAGATGGGAATGTACATGTAGGCATGAATATATTTTTTTGTCGTCAGTCACTATAATAGAGACTTTCACTTGCAAAGATATACAAGTGTCAACATTAATTATGACGCTATACTATCTCTTTTTGAGAACTTACGCTATATATTTTGTCTGTTCTACTTTTTTTCGTTTCTATGCTAAAATATATATGCATGCATGCAGTGCCGTGCGAGGGTATCTCGAGGCCTCTGGCGATTTTTTAAATTGGGGCCATTTCGTATAACTAATAAATAAGTAATTAAGGTAGTTTTGATAGGATATAAAATAATGAAAACCAAACCATAAGATGTAGTGTCTATATCAAAAATTCCGATGTATAAGAAAAGATGGATGCTGCCACAAGAAAAAACGATGTAGTGTCTATATCAAAAAATTCTTTGAAACTTGAAAGCGATAAAATGTTGAAAACATATCTAAACGAAATTAAGATATTTTAGAATCCGAGTTTCTTTCTATCAAATTTTATATTCCAAAATATATACACACTGAAGGAATTGAACACCGGTCACTAACTGCAAATATAGAAAATCTAGCGCAAGCCACTACGAGACATTAGACTTTGAAAATTTGGGCCTCTGCTCTAATATATTTTTTTTGGGGGGGGGGGGGGGGGGCTGCGGCAAATGCCTTTTTGAATGCATATCAAGCACGGCTCTGCATGCATGTTAATTTAGGTTTAGAAATAGCAACTAAAGTCAAATACATCAAACTTCTATAAATCAACGTAGTACTGTAATACACTTTCCATTTTTTTGAAAAAGGAATATATCCTAATCATATCTAACAGAAACATCGTTTAAGTTCATTTTTTTTTGTAGAAAAACATAAAACCATTATGGTCTCTATAAAAGTAAACAATAACTCAACTCGATCGATGTGTAAAACATATTTATCTCCCTTTTCCAACTAGAGTTTTCGGTATACAAAACGTGGGTCCACTAATAGTCGTGTAAAAAGATTATCATCGACTTACTCAGCTAATTAACCAAATCTTCATTAAACCAAAAAAGTAATATTATTTAGGTAGAGTTTCAATATTCATCCATACACGGAATTCCTTTTTCTCAATAATATCATAAGAAGTCATTAAGTTCTGAGAATGTCTTCTTTCCTTTTTTTTGATCTAAATATCTTCTTTTGTTAGTTCATGAGTCATGACACTTCATTTTACTTTTATTTATACGGAAATACACACATTATATTGCTATATGCATGAATTGTTATAGTCATAAAAAGTCCAATAGCACGTATTTCTTAGTCGTATATGCATGCAAGATAGAAAGTGTTAACATTTAAATATGGCACTGCATTGCGTCTAATTAAACATTTTTCAAATGCTAATATCTATAGTAACAGTTTTACTGCAGTTACTTAGGATAAATAGGTAAATGAGAAATTAAGAAAGGAAAGAATACTTTGAAGAAAGGACAACAGTTAAGGAAATCATAATCGAAGTCAATGGGGATAGTAAACTGAGTTTTGCATTTAACTATCCGATTTTACCTTACTTTTTTATAAATATCAAAAAGTTAATGAGCGGAAAATACACCCACACCTTCCTTACTAATAATGTTTCGTGATAATTAACATCCCCAAAAATTTTATTCTATGAAATAATTGTAATAAATACACACACGTAATATACCATTCTAGTTAAGTTTTTTTTTTTTTTTAATTATGTTTAGCTCTTTAAAAAGAGCACCGGATCCCAAAGAAATGTATAACCCATAGAGTAACCCATAGAGTAACCCATATCTCCTATCTTAGAATGACGAAACATGGTAATTTTTCATTTATCCCCCTTCTCTCATTGTTGCTCTGCTCTACCTTCATCCTCCAAGNTACCATTCTAGTTAAGTTTTTTTTTTTTTTTAATTATGTTTAGCTCTTTAAAAAGAGCACCGGATCCCAAAGAAATGTATAACCCATAGAGTAACCCATAGAGTAACCCATATCTCCTATCTTAGAATGACGAAACATGGTAATTTTTCATTTATCCCCCTTCTCTCATTGTTGCTCTGCTCTACCTTCATCCTCCAAGGTCGTATGACCGATCCCGAGGTAATAAATATCAAATGTAATCTTCATGATTAGAAAAGTCCCAAACTACAAATTAAAATCTTACCGAGTGACACTTTGAACGAGAGGCAAACTTTATTGAATGTCTAATGTTGTTTATAACATAATCTATCCGTTAACTGACTTTTATCTGTTTGTTATTACATATATTTCAGGCGCTGAAAGGTGAAGCTGACATCGTTGTAGCGAAGGATGGGACCGGAAATTTCACGACCGTGAGGGACGCTGTCACAGCAGCTCCAGAAAACAGCAAGAAACGCTACATCATCTATGTGAAGAAAGGAGTCTATGAAGAGATTGTCATCATCGGGAATAGGAAAGAGAATATAACTATCGTAGGTGATGGCAGAGACTTAACAGTTCTCACCGGCAGTCTCAGCGGTATCAAGACCTTCCAAACTGCAACTCTTGGTAAAATATCCTTTCTATTTTTATAGTGGTAAAATATCCTTTCTATTTTTATAGGACGTATTACTTACTTGTTTTTACCAAGTGTTGTGTGATGCAATGACAGGTGTTGACGGAGATGGATTTATGGCACAAGATATCAGCATACAGAACACAGCCGGACCGAAGAAGGGACAGGCCGTAGCCCTCCGCATAAGCGCGGATATGTCCGTTGTCTACCGGTGCCGAGTTGATGGATTTCAAGACGCTCTTTATGCTCAGTCAGGTAAGCAGTTTTACCGTGAGTGTCATATAACTGGCACGGTAGATTTTATATGCGGAGAAGCAGCAGCAGTCTTCCAATATTGCCAGATTGAGGCAAGAAAGCCATTGGAAGGACAAAGCAACGTCATTACGGCCCAATCACGCAGTAACAATACCAAAAACTCCGGGTTTTCAATCCACAAATGCAACATAACGGCGACTCCGGATCTCACTCCTGTTATAGGAACGGTAAAAACTTTTCTAGGACGGCCATGGGGTGCATACTCAACCGTAGTAGTTATTAAATCATTCTTGGACGACCTCATTGATCCAGCAGGTTGGACTCCATGGGCAGACGACAGAGGACGTCTGTCCACTTTGTATTACGGTGAATACCAAAACAACGGCCTGGGGGCGGATACAACTAAGCGAGTTAAGTGGGAAGGATTCAAAATAATACAAGATCCGAAAGTAGCTGCAGAATTCACAGTAGAAAAACTTATAGGAGGCTCGTGGCTTAGAGATATGGGAGTTCCTTACGAGGAACGACTTTAATTTATGTGATTTCTTAGTTAACATATTTGCGGTATATATAATAACTAATGCAAAACGGTAGCATTATGCATTTGCACTATTTTCTGTTATAAACCCCAGAAGTTATTAAAATAAATGAATAATTTGTATTTCATATATTATTTCTAGTTCTTACACGAACGGATTGTAATTTTCATTTCCTAAATCTACTATCGTCTATCGGCACTAAGCCACTAAGAGTAAGAAGAATACTTATTCTTATCATATTTGTTCAAGAATACAATTCCTCAAACTTGTTTTTTATAACTTCAGAAAAGGTGACATTACTGTCATACTTAACGCGGATTTTTTAGTCAAAAACAGAACTAAATAGTGTTTTTAGAGGTGACATGGTTAAGTTGTATTTAGTCAGAAATATTACTTTTGAAACATGTATGTTAGGATATTGTAATCATTGACAGCGCAGCCCAAAGTATTTGTGCACTAAAACAATTTTTTTGGCCCATTAACATATCTACGGGAAAAAGAGAAATTGCAACGTTGGCTCTGAACGTATTAATTTGTGGACATTTGATCACGAAAAAAAGAAAGGAGTACCACTACAAACACACAACATTATTGCAAATCGATGCCGCCAAAATAGTTCTGTATAAATATAGCCTACAACAGCCGCTATGGTAACATACAAGATTATAATTTATGGATTCAACATCTACTATGTAATAGACAACCAAATACAATTCAAGTGATCAACAAGTAAAAATCAAATGACATTTTAAAAATTAGTTTATCTACTGTATTAGACTAAAATCATTAAAACATTCATATTGTTTACATTTAATTAAACTAGATTTCTGATCCACGCTTAAAAAGTGCAAATACCATTTTTGTTGTTTTATCTACAGATAGATTAACAAGCATATTGTTTTGATTATATAAAATGTCCTATCTAATATAACCTTTTAAAATTAATACATATTTTAATTTCTTGTTATCATCAATATCTATGTAAATGTATTATATGTAATTGTGTAATTTTATTATGGGAAAATAATATCAATTAACTACGTCCGGTGCTGTGAAGCAGGTCAAACTCGCTTTACCTGACCCGTCTGGCCCGCAAAGAAAATATATTTTATCTGCATCCGTCCCACTTAATTTTACGGATAATCTGTGGAACCCGCGTATAATGATTAAATAATAAAATAGTTAGTTTTTATTATTAAATAGTATATGTTTAATTATATTTTTTAATATTAAAACAGAATAATTATTTTAACGAAATTTAGTATATTTTTGAAAAGTAAAATTTTTAAAAACAAAATTATTTTTCTATTTTTGCGGATTACCGGGTACCCGCAATTGAAATTTGAACAATCCGCACTCGTTCCGTGTAAAATACACTTGACCCACCCACGAATGAAATTTTTAAATTTATGATTTTGGGAATATTTCATATAGAACCCATATATACTATATTTACACTTATAAATTTAAATTTTAACTAAATTTTCCGTATGAATATATGTGCTATGTAACTGTAAAAGCTAACATAATAACTAATACTTTTAAAAGATAGTATTGTCTAATAGACTTACTTGAATAAGTAATACTTTTTTTTTTCTCACATATGTTAGGAAGAAAAAAATTACAAAAGCTAAAATTGAATATTTGTAAAGCATAGTATTGACAAATTGTTCATGAGTAGGCTTACTTGAATAATTTTTTTTGCTGTCTCATATATTTTATGAAGCATTTGAAAACGTGTTTAGAAAGATAAAATTTTAAAGAAACTATTTTTTTTTTCATTTTGTAAACAGTAACTGAACTTGAAAGTTTGTCTGTATATGAATTATTCTATGTTATGTTTATGAGTAGGTTGTCTATGGTTTGCATGCGATTTTTATGTGTTGTCATGAGTAAGAGGTTGACATTTAAAATAGTTTTTCATGTTCGGGTATATGTTAATGTGTGTTGGAGTATATGTTAATGGGACTCTTTAAATGGTTTGGATTTTTTATATTTAAAAGGGTTTATGACAGCATACATATCAACCAACAATGTAATTGTCTGATTTTTATTGTGGTCACACCAAAATTAGATGAGTAATAATATTTATGTAATTAATCTAGTGAAATAAGAGTATTTTATTTAAGATTATGAGAAAGACTCTAAAAATGACACATGAACAATGGTATTTTAGTTAAGGAAAAATTCCATAAAAATATTCCAACTAAATTTTGTTAAGCATTTTAACACTCAATTTTTTTCGATATCCAATTTAATACCCCAACTAATTATTTTACCCATTTTAGCACACAAAGTTTTATAACTGTACCCATTCAAATACCCAAAAAAAATTTATTTAAATAAAAAAATATTAATAAGTTCAAATGAAAATTTAAAAACATCTAATCTTTACAGAAAATTCTAATTTTATTTTGTGTTTGAGAAATAAAAGTAAATAACAATTTTATAATCTTCATTTTGTAATAAAATTTTAAGTCTTAAATACTGAATTTAGTTTATTTTCTAAAATAAAAATTAAATTAATTATTTTTCCTTCCAAACTAATTTTAATACTTTTAAATCTTCTCAAGAGTTTATTTACATTCTTTCTAAATCTTCAAGTAAAATTATAAATTATAAATATTTTTCTTAAATTTTAAAGATTTTTTAAATTTCCTTTGCAATTTATTAGTATTGTTAATTAAATAAATAAAATTTGGATATTAAAATGAGCACAATTATAAGATTTTGTGTATTAAAATGAGAAAAAATAATTAGTTGAGGTATTAAACTAGGTAATAAAAAATGGGTATTAAAAAACTTAACAAAATTTAATTGAGATATTTTTATGGAGTTTTCTCTTTTTAGTTAATCACACGTGAAAGTAGTAATGTTATTTAATAATAGTACTCCTCAGATAATATAAAAAGGATATAATTTATTTTTCATTCCCATCATTTTATTCTCTCTTTTTTTTTCGTTTCTTTTAACTACAGTATTCATTCTTATTTGTATTCTAATGGTCACCATTTAAACCCTTTGAATAGAAAGAAAGGAGAATCTAAAGTACCACTTAAGACAACGCTACTATTTTACACTGACCATTTTAAAGTAAAATTATATACTGTTTATTTAGTGTTAAAGATATAAGATTGTGTTACCTAAAGTGAGAATCTTTGTAAGATTTCGTTCCAAATTTGTCAATGTATATCTTTTATTATGGTACATAATCTAACACAAAAGGAAAGCACTGAAGAATTTGGCAGTTTGCTTTTAATTCAAATAACATCAATATGGTATATAATATGCCAGCACTTACTGCAAAAAACTCTATAGACATATACTTCTAGCAAGAACTGATCATGAGATTTCGAAGGCCCCATTCAAAAAACAATTATTTTTATTTAGAATTTACAATATTTTTAGTAAATTTTTAGCAAAACATTTAGTTTGAATTATATACTATTTTAATATATATTATTTTAAATGAAAGTTATTAGTTTCAATGATATTAAAAATTATGCATTTTAAATCATAAAACACAAAATCTATTTTTTAAATTTCACATTTACACTTTATATATATATATATATATATATATATATATATATTTGAACAGAACTTCATTTTGTAACGCTCTCATTTTACCTCATTTTGTAACGTTCTCATTTTATATTTATGTAAAATAAAGACGTTACAAAATAGAAACGTTACAAAATGGAGTTCTATTTAAATATTTCAAAAATATATTTTTAGGATTGGTTCTGCTTCTGTCATTTTAAGCCTATATATATAGTCCAGCAAATATAAATCTTATATCGTCTCAAATATCTAGAACAAAATATGGCTGCATACATCAAAAAAACTTTTTGTTGGCTCTTATGGAGGACGTTACAAAATAGAAATGTTACAAAATAAAGGTCTATTTAAATATTTCAAAAATATCTTTTTAGGACTGGTTCTGCTTCTGTCATTTTTAAGCATATATATATAGTTCAGAAAATATAAATCTCATATCCTCTCAAATATCTATAACAAAATATGGCTGCATACATCAGAAAAAACTTTTTGTTGGCTCTTATGGTCTTACTTCTTCTTGTTGGCTCATATAAAATAAGGACGTTACAAAATAAAAACGTTACAAAATGGAGTTCTATTTAAATATTTCAAAAATATCTGTTTAGGACGGGTTCTGCTGCTTCTGTCATTTTAAGCCTATATATAGTTCAGCAAATATAAATCTCATATCCTCTCAAATATCTATAACAAAATATGGCTGCATACATAAAAAAAAACTTTTTGTTGGCTCTTATGGTCTTACGTCTTCTTGTTGGCTCATATAAAATGAGGACGTTACAAAATAGAAACGTTACAAAATGAAGTTCTATTTAAATATTTCAAAAATATCTTTTTATGACTGGTTCTGCTGCTTCTGTCATTTTAAGCCTATATATATAGTTCAGCAAATATAAATCTCATATCCTCTCAAATATCTAGAACAAAATATGGCTGCATACATCAAAAAAAAATTTTTGTTGGCTCTTATGGTATTGCTTCTTCTTGTTGTCTCATCATATGCGAGATTTAATATGATGGTTGCAAAAGGAAAAATCGAATCCATCTGTACAAAAGATGTCAATCATTCACTTTGTTTTGAGATTCTAAAGCCAACTCCTGAAATTGAAAAACTAGATTTTTCTGGTCTGGCCAAATTTGTGATCAATTATCAGTCTCGATACACTTCAGATACGTTGAACCAAGTAAAAATGTTCGAAGGCAACACAACGGGTGCAGATTTGCAGACACTTCAATTATGCGCGGAATTGTACGATGATTCTCTTTTTCGTAACGATCTTGCTCTCAAAGTTTTAGCATCCAAGGACTACGACAGCTTAAACACTGAAGTCGGATTTACATTGGCCTACACGAATACGTGTAATGATGAATTGATAACAATGAAGCCAGTACCGCAAGTTTTATTCAAGAAGAATAGTGACATTAGTGCTATGTCCACTATTATTCTAGTGATTCTCGAGTGTTTTATAAGGGAAGTAAAAATAAGATGTTAGTCGAAAGGGAATCTGTAATAAGAAAGTAATCTATCAATCATCATCAATCAATTATAATAAAACTGAGTTTTTTTCTCTCCACAAGCGTTCATGTCATCCAAAGCAAATTACAAATAACAACACGTGACAATTAATTAGTAGCTGGTAAATAACATTTACACAAAATCAAATATATTCAGTTTTTACTATGGCACGGTTTGGGCTAATGCACAAGAGTTAAATTTTCATATGATAGGTAGTTCATATCTTTCACTCCACGAGAGTTCATGTCATCCAGAGCAAATTACAAATAACAACACGTGACAATTAATTAGTAGCTGGTAAATAACATTTACACAAAACCAAATATATCAGTTTTTACTATGTCACGTTTTGGGCTAATGCACAAAGTTAAAATTTTAGACGGCCTATCTTCTATTTGGTAGTTCATATCTTTTAAACTAGGTGTTTTGCCCGCACATGCGGGCTTAATTATATTAAAGTTAATTTGAAAAATTATCAAAATAAATGATTATTTGCATCCAAATAATTCGACCTAAAACATTAAACTTTTTTAGATTGATAAAGTTATTCACAAATTAAATACAAATATATAATTTCCTTTAAAATTTTGAAAAATCTAAAGTCTATTTCATTTCTTCGTAAAATTGATAAAAAAAATATAGAAATCTATCTTTCAATTTGAAAAATTTAATCGATAAATATACATTCAAAAATTGATCTTATAGAAAGAATAAAATTAGTTTGGATAATAATACAATATATTTGAATTTATTTTTGTCAAACACGTATTTTCTTTCTTTTTGAATGATTTTTTATTTTATATGATTAATTCATGTTTAAGGTTTAACTATATAAAATATAAAAATAAATTTAATTTAACGTGTGAGTTCAGAGGTGAAAAATAACTTCATGAATATATATCCTTATATTATATTATTATATTATTTTAATTTGAAAATAATTACGTATTCTACTTTGTCAATTTCTCTTTTGAATTATATACAATTAAAAATTTTATTTTATGAATATTTATTTATGTGTTTTCTGTTTTTGAATTGTTTTTTATCAAAAATATATTTTCCGGATAACAACACAATATCTATAAGAGTTATCTTTTATTTTATTTTATGATTATCTATATATTTAGATTATGGATAATTCTTATCATTATTATTAATTTATATCATTTATCTAATCAAATAAATATCAATTTCGTTTTTATTTTATGTCTAATTTATATATTTTTTCATTAAGGGTATAAACGATAATAACCACTCTAATTTTTAACGTGAGAGCTCCGTTGCGAAAAATCACTTCGCAAATAATAGTATAGATCTAAGTTTTCTCTTTTAAAAGTAAACAATATAAGTGGAGTTTGACCGAAAAAGAAAAAAACAATATAATTGAATCTGACATAAATTCTTTAAAATACATCTCCTAATCTTTTACCTAACCATTAAACATAAGCAGAATAACAAAGTTTGTAAACATGAGATTCTCAAAACATATATATATATATATATATATATATATATATATATATAAACACAGATTGGTTTTTTAGGCTTAACGTCCTGTTACAGCAGTGAGACTCGCATCATTGATAGTGACCATTTGACTACTCCGGTCAGAAGATCCAGCCACAGAAACTTCTCTTCTTGCTATAAACGCAGGCTGCTTTGCCTCAGGGAGGTTTGCATTCTCAGTAGTTAGAATCCAAATCACATTTGAAACGTTACAAAATAGGTTCTATTTAAATATTTCAAAAATATCTTTTTAGGACTGGTTCTGCTTTTGTCATTTTAAATATCAAATATAAATCTCATATCCTCTCAAATATCTAGAACAAAATATGGCTGCATACATCAGAAAAAAACATTTTGTTGGCTCTTATGGTCTTACTTCTTCTTGTTGGCTCATATAAAATGAGGACGTTACAAAATAGAAACGTTACAAAATGGAGTTCTATTTAAATATTTCAAAAATATATTTTTAGGATTGGTTCTGCTTCTGTCATTTTAAGCCTATATATATAGTTCAACAAATAAAAATCTCATATCCTCTCAAATATCTAGAACAAAATATGGCTGCATACATCAAAAAAAAACTTTTTGTTGGCTCTTATGGTCTTACGTCTTCTTGTTGGCTCATATAAAATGAGGACGTTACAAAATAGAGTTCTATTTAAATATTTCAAAAATATATTTTTAGGACTGGTTCTGCTGCTTCTGTCATTTTAAGCCTATA